GGACGGCAACGGTAACATCTGTCTCCAGTACACTCGCACCAAAAGCATGGACGTCAGGAATTGGATTAAAAGACACAATGGGAAAAGTGATTTGAAATCACTACGATGATGATACAGAAAGATATCTAAATTGATTTTTCATCAACTGACTGAGCAGGTACGACTGGGTCCTTAACGTTAGGATCTTGAGTTTAGAGAGAAGGAACGGATTTAATGAAGATACTTATTCTGCCTGGCAAATGAGGACAGGAACATCTTCTGTATATATCTGTAACAATGAACACTTGTTCGTTCTGACTGAATATCTCAAAAAAATAAAGGGGGAACCCAATTTTGAGCATGTACAGATTTGGATTAAACAAGTGAAAATATTTTTATCTGTTCCTATTGAATAAAGATTATTTTATAAACTAGAGTCTATTAAAGCTGGTGTCTAATAAGTAAACAAGGAGTGATTTTGCGAATGGTATATGGTATGTGTACTGGAGTAATTTTCACAGAAAGTGTTAAATACAATGTATGTGCTTAGAAAATTAATCTAAATGGTAAATACATTTCTTCTTAGCATTTGATTATGTGTATATACAAGGCATTTCAAAAAGTGTTAAAGATATGTAGAATTTAAACTACTGTTACTTCTCTATATAAAGTTATTACCATAAAATGAAACATGGCTTTAACAAATCGTAACACAGCTTAGAAGTCAAATGAAACAACATACAGATCAGGAGCTTCTTCCTTGTTTAAGTTTCATTACAATAACAAAGCAGCTGATAAAACATGACCTTGTCGGTCTATCTTAAGAAGTCTGCAATATAATGTAAGTTTTCTAGAATATGAGAGAAAGTGCACATGATTATTTCTCTGCAAGATAAGGCAATATATTGGACACATGGCTCCAACACTTGGTCTTGCTCTTTTTGCTCTGTTGACATTGCTAACAATAGAAGTTACCTATGGTTCTGAGACTGGCGTATCGATGGATGAATTTCTAACGATTAAGAATTTGGTTACTCAACAGAATGACGTCCTGCAAAGATACAAAGAACTTGCACATCAGAGGAAACTTATAGAAAAATTATTAAAAGGTAGGTAGAGTAAAGAAAAATCTTCATGAAAGTTCACACTTGTTTACAATAGTAAATACTATAAATACATACTTTGATTTGCTTTAAATTTACGAAATCTAAAGGCTATAATTGTCAATTAAATAAACACATTTAAACTTTTCTTCAATTTACATTTTGAATATTTTTAAAAATTCTACAACCTCTTAAATACCAAACCGATGCTGTAAGATATGAAATATTGCAATGTGTGAAGTAACCCATAAAATGACTTTATAAATCGAACACTTTAATTAACCTCAGTTTCGTACTTCCAGCTCATTTTCATTCTTGTTAACAGTCCACTTGAACGAAAAGCGTTCAGTTTCAACAGAAACAGTTGCCTTTCACGCCTGCTTTGACCATGATGTGGAACACCTTGGAAATAGCCACGAACTAGCATTTAACATCGTGGTAACAGATACCCACTCTGCTTATGAAAAATACAGTGGGACATACATAGTTCCCATTCCAGGAATCTATGTGTTTAGTTGGGTAACTCCAATTTACAATGGCGATATTCCTTTCCAGCAAATCGTGAATGGGGCTGTTAAAGGGAAAACAGATCCGTCTAATAACGCTCACATCTCATCAACTGGCGTGGCTGTGTTATCCTTAAATGAACACGATGCTGTCATGATTCGTACACATCCGAATTTTACACCTCGTGGAAAAATAGAAGGCAATACATGGATGAATGCCTGCTTTTCCGGTTGGAAGCTATAACAAAAATATAGTATTTTCAATGTGAAATGTTCCATCTTCCCAAGTCAAGAGTTTCTGATCCGCTCCGCTCCACATAAACAACGGATCAGATACTCTTGACTTGGGAAGATGGGTATGTTCATAAGCTGCAGAGAGATGAGGAAAAATAAAAGGTTAAAGGTACCTAAAGCGAGTTTTCGATATTTTTTGACAAATAACGCTAAAAAATTTATTCAGAAACTCAGTTGCGTGTCAGCTCATGTTCTGTTCGTATGAACAGTTATATAAGCATGGAGGGTATAAAGTTGTACAAGTTATAGGATTTGAGACATTAGTCACCTTAGTCACTTAAAACCCCATTTTGAATGAATGACCATAACATTGAATAAATTCTGCTATATATAAGAACATGCTGGCTAATAAAGAAGAAAAGTTAGTGCCTTAGTTCCCACACGGCGGGTGTGACCGGTTGGCAGGGTATGCTTACTCCTCCATGGCACCCGAACGAACCTATGATTTAGCGGCCAATTTTGCTCTATTCCTGATTTGAAAGACTTTTGAGCTTGAATGCTTTTAGTTATTTCCATAAGTTTCATTCCAACATGGCATCGTTTCTAAAAGCTTGTAGATATTGACAATATGCATCTTTTTTACATCAGCTATGATCTAGAACAAAGTACTGTTGTTGATGATAAAAAACAGGTTATATAAGAAATTTAACGATTTTTACTTCTTTTTTTTTTTGCAAAAAGACGTTTAGTGTGTACAAAAAGATAACATGGAATTTATCGAGTGGAATGACTAATTAAAAAAGGTAAATGAAAAGTGTGTACATATTTTCTACTTTTTACTCTGTAGCAGAGTAGTACGATTTTTCTTCTCTGTAGCAGGGTAACATTATATTTTTGAAAGAAGTAAAAATAAGGGCTTGTTAAAACCTTTTCAGGTATATTGTTTAAAGTCAGCATTTCGTTATTTCTATGGTCATTACACTTACCTTGTTAGCAAATATTACCTCAGACCTTGTTAGCAAATATAACCTCAGACCTTTTTTCACGGAATTGTACTGCAGAATGTTCTACTTAATTTATAAAGGGCTCACGGCAACTATGACTGATCAACAGGGGATGTTTACTCCTCCTAGGCGACAGATCCCATCTGATATATCCGTTGGTCCATGTTTAAGCCTGTTCTCAGAATTCTTTTTAGAATTTTATTTAGATTGATTGCTATTTGTTACCTTCACCTTTTTCTGATCACCCGTTGTTCGTCGTCCGTCCGTCTGTCTAGCTGTCTGCCCGTCCGTTTGTAAACTTTTCACATTTTCAACTTCTTCTCAAGAACCAGTGGGCCATTTTAATCAAACTTGGTACAAAGCATCCTTTGGTAAAGGGGAATTTAAATTGTTAAAATAAAGGGCCAAGTCCCCTTTCAAGGGGAGATAATCAAGAAAATATCAAAATAGGGTGGGGTCATTAAAAAATCTTCTCAAGAACCACTGCGCCAGAAAAGCTGAAACTTATGTGGAAGCATACTTGGGTAGTGTAGATTCTAAATTGTTCAAATTATGACCCCCCCTAGGGGTTAGGACAGGGTCACAATAGGGAATCCAAGTTTTACATCAAAATATATCAGGAACCATGTGGACAGAAAAGTTGAAACTTATGTGGAAGCATTCTAGGGTATTTAAATGCTAAATTCTTTAAATCATGACCCCTGGGGGTAGGGCGGGGCCACAATTGGGAATCCAAGTTTTACATTGAAGTACTAGTATATAGGGAAAAAAAACTTTAAAAATCATCTTCTCAAGAGCAACTGGACTAAAAAAATCTGAAACTTATGTGGAAGCATAATGTGGGTAGTGTAGATTCTAAATTGTTTGAATCATAACCCTTTAGGATTGTCAAGTTCAAGATAGGTATTACAAAGGGGGAAATCTATTAATTAAATGACAAAATGGCAAGTTACTCAGGTGAGCGATGTGGCCCATGGGCCTCTTGTTTATTATATTGTTCCGAAAGAAACTGTGGATTCCGTATTGTGGTCCCGCATGTCCCCAAAAGGCCATGTATGAAGCACGAAGATAATAAACACTGATCAAGCTCCTAGGAGCACTGAAGGAATACAAGTAAAATGCATTGAACTCAAATACTTTCAGAGGTGGAATCAGGTGTCATGCTTATGGAGGAGTAAACATCCCTTGTTGACGCACATACAGCATGTTTTTGTATTTATTGGCAAGTTCTATGGAGGAAAGAATGGCACAATCTATCACAAATCTTGACTGGCCATTCTTCATACCAATTATAAGATCATTATTTACATACTGAATTGTCTACGGATTTTCCCATTATTTCTTGATCTTGACAAGGAGATACGGCGAGTTTGACAGGTCAGCAGGGGATGCTCATTCCTCAATGGCACCTGATCCCATCTCTGATGTTTTAGAGGTTCATGTTTGCTCTTTGCCTGATTTTTATTGTTGGAATGGACGTTTGGGCTTGAATGACTACTGCTGTTATCTCCATCAATAGGGAGAGATAATGGTACTTTTGATATTGCTACATGAATAAGATGGTGATGATGGAATAGTTATTAATTACATTAAATAATGAACTGAATTTAAATGATTTACAAAAAAATGGAGGTATATATACAAGGCAAGGACAATACCCTGCTCTGAGAAACCACATTTCTCAATTCTTAAAGTTCTTGGAAAGTTACAAGTTACATTTTTTTCCAAAAAATTGTATTGTAAATATCATATTTGCTTCTGTTATTTTATCATGTATCTTTAAATTGATCATTTGATCATGAACCAACTTTACTGTATGTTATATCCCAGTCATGAAGTAAGGAGTTGATCCTTACATCGTGGGTTTGAATCCCATTCTTGGATGTGGAAACTGTTCCTTTGGATGAGACCGTATAAACCGTGGTCCTGTAACACAATAGGTGCTAGCACAAAAAATTCCCTCCTGCTCAATGGCCCTGATCATGAGTGCCGAGTATATGACAAAAATTGTAGCTCTCCACTGGCAAGTGGTGGCGTCTCCAAATGAGTGAAAAATTCTCAAGAGGGACGTTAAACAACATACAATCAATCAATCCTTTTTTTCTTAACTTCTAAAACAATTTAATATTCCTTTCATTACCATCCATCAAAATCAATAAATCAATATAGAACTGTTATTTTTGTCATTATGAAAACATTTATTATTTTGACCTTTCAGTATAAAAAATGATGAAATTATGTAACAGCACAGAGATCTGAAACACACTTCTGTAGCATTTCAAGCAAATCTAATAAAACTGTGAACTGCTTTTATCACATAACAAAAACATATACACAATAAACACATGTAATCAAAAAGCCAACTTAAAAGTTAAAAAAATCATTGCACAAAAAAACGGCCTTAACTGTATACATAAAGTTAATTAAAAGCTGCATGTACTGACCTAGAATATATAACTATGTCCTCTGAATGAAATGTGATAAAAAGGAAAAATACCATTCCTCTGTCTTGCTTATTCACTCACTGTTTAAAATTAAATCATTCTTCAATGCATGATGTTAAAAGCAAAAAACTCCCACAATGGGCAAACCAAAATAAATACTCAGGAAAAGCTTTAACAAATAATAATTCACAAATAAATATTCACATTATACAAAGCTCATTTATTCTATATAACAACAAATCAAATAATGTGTTAATAATGAAATAAATGGAAATTCATTGCTGTTTTAGATTAGAATGGTTTTAATGTTGTTAAAAATCAACATTGTTGGGTGATAAAACTTAACTTTTTCACATAAACACCCAGTAACAGACAAGATCATTCAAACATGTGACCCTTGCATATATTTTGTATCTTGGCAATTCAGAAATTCTCTTAAAGTTATGTCCTCTGGCATGATTTGGCAATGTTTTGGATCCGTGCTCATTCGTCTGCTCCTTCTTGTTTATCTGCTGTGTCCTGCTGTTTGTCGTCTGCTGTCTGACTTCCAGAACTCTCTGAAGAGTGCGTCGAGTTTCGGTTTGGATCATCTGGAAGTTCTAAGTTTACCATTTTTTTCAGAACCTCAACCCATCTACAAGGGAAGATAAAAAAAGTAATAAAATAAAGATTGGCTAGTTTATTAAAAAAATCTATGTAATTTTCATCTTTCTTGTAATAATATGTAAATTAGTAATAAGAAAATTTTGAAAAAAGCAATTATTGAACTCTTCACAGAGTTCATTTATTGACCTCATTGTGTATATAGATTGAGTGATCAAGTGTTCATGTAGAGATTTCATTGCACAGATTTTTCCATGTACTGATTTCCTTGTATAGAACTGTTCTTATACAGCTTTCATACGTTCTTGTACTGATGTCTTGTGCCTTCAAAGGGTGTCTACAAGTACCTCAATTTCTTAAATAATTTTTTGTCCAGAAGTAAAGTTAAAATCATTCTTCTTCAAGTTTATCAGTTTTCATCTTTCATTGGGATAATCATGATGCTACATGTAGATTTAAATTTTCGGCTTCTTTTTCTATAAATTTCTCTCAAGGAAGATTACTGAACTCAACTACGAAGTGATCCATTAATATTTACATTTCCAATGTCTTTGTCCGAGACAAAATTACAAAAAGTAAATGTACATTGTTTCTACATACATGCAAAAGTATTGGTTCATCCAAAGGTGTGGTTATAAAAAATCATGTGCAAGGCGGGAAAAATCAAGAGAGAAGCGGGGCCTTTAGCACGTGATTTTGTAGAATCAAGAGCATATAAATATAAGGAATAACTCTCAGAATTTTTTGATTTCATGACAACGATCAATCGATTGGCTTGCCTGATAATTTTATGCATAAAGAAGGTGTTTATGCAAATTATCATGCAAGCCAATCAATTGATCACATCATGAAACCAAAAACTTAGTTATTTCTTAAATCTACATCAAAATATTAGTTTCAACAAGTTACTTTTATCATAAATCTTCAATATTTAAGGCAAAATCTTGTGAAACTTTCAACATGAAAACAATACAGTATTATATATTTTTTGTGAAATTTTTTAAAAGGATTTTGAAGGATTATATAAAACAAAATGTTTTTTTTTTCAGGATTATTAAACCAAATGGTATGTACCTGTCACGGCTGGCTGCACACTCTGATTGTAGGTGGGTAGGTGGCATTTTCTGAGGGTGACTCAGACAGAACACATTCTCCATATTGTCAGAGGGAAATATCACCTGGTAACCAGGTAGTGGCAAGGTTGCTATGGCATATATATCCTGCGATTAAAAACAAACAAAATCAATGTACGCTACATTTTGGACAGTTAACATTAGCAAGACTGACATTTCATAGTTCCATAAATAAATGTTTTTGTAAAGAACTGATAAAGAACAAAGCGGTATGATATTAAAATGATGAACTTCCTGGATAGCAATGAAAGATGTGAGCTGTTTGTGACATGCTATTTTTATCCCCTCGATATGGTTTTACCTGGTGAGCTTTGAACTCAAACATTGCGAAGTCCTTGGTGACGACAAACCATCTCTTGGTCCAGGTCTTCCCGCGGTCCATACTTTTATTGAGATACCCAGATAAGATAGAAGGATCATTGGCATTCATCTACGTAAAAATATTAAATAAAGCTTAAATAGACAAATAGTTCAGGCTCCACTGCCAAAAAACTTCAAACTTAAAACTTAATCAGTCTCACTTTTACAAAAGGAATGCAGAAGATTTAAGGAAAAGTGAGACATAGATCAAAACTGAGCTTGTCTTAGTTTTATGGCCCCTTAGATTGAACTATGAATATCATATTACATAAACACTAAAGTCTTTAAGTTTAAGCCACAAGTAAATACCATAAAATATTCACAAAACATTAAGGTACTTTATGGTACTTTAATTATTCTATCCCAGTTTACTCCATTAACATTTTGTTTCCATTACATGTGAACTCTGGATAGACTTTTCTCTCCTACCTTTCGGACTCCCTTCGGAGCTTTCATGCCGACATCCTTGCCATCAACATTTTTAAGGATGTGGAAACATTTATCACAGACTCGGTTTGGCTTGTTGTTGTCATAGGCCAAGTTACTCTTCTTAGATGAGCACTTTCCACACACAACCTATGTAATATTTAAGAAAAAATTTTCATATTTCTTTCTTTATCTTAACTTTGAGATTTCATGAGCGTATGAGTTGCTCTAATGTTTTCTATGAAAGAAGTGACAAAGTTGTTCTATATTTAAAGAAAATTCAGAGAAGATACCCCACATCTTTTCACATCTAATATTGAATCTTGTTCATAAAATGCTTCAAAATTCAGGAGACTGAATGGATACATTGTTCATAATCCGATTTTAAGAGCAACTTTCATGTGCCAAATCAAGGATGGTAATGCTTGAAGTTGTACAACCTTGTGCTCTACAACCTTGTGCTCCAACAGAAATCTTTATCATCCAGGTATTTAATTTATCTCTTCAATAAAAACACTCACCCTGCCACAAGCTCGACAGTGATGTCGCCGTTTCAGCGCGGTGAATGATTTACTACACAGCTGACACATTGACACTTCATCGTCCTTGATCCAGTGTGGCGCCACATTCCCAAGGTCACTTTCAGTAACCTACAAAATACATCACATATGTACAGATGCTGCCAGCAATATTGAATGTTATATTTGCTTTTTTTTTACTATTGTACATGTATTTTTACATGATAAACCTTATAGTCACCAATGTGAGCTGATTAACATCTGTAAAATCCCCTACCTCTCCCCCATTACATGGTGGTAACTCTGTGAGTCGGACAGAGGGTTTTCTGACTCGGTATTCCTTAATTACATTCTTAATGCTCTGTAAAATACATTTACAACATTTAAAAATATCAATTTCTTCTCTAAGATAATATACATATAGATGTTTTTTGTGATATGAATAAGTTAATTTTGAGGGGAAAAAATTATCACAAATTAATAATTTACAGACAAAATACACTTTAAAAGAAAATTCAATTTCATCAACTTTTTAAAAAATTCCATTTTAACTGACCTCACACCAACTGTTCTCCTCTCCAGGATTTCTAAAATACAAAAAAAAAAAAAAAACTAGAACTGTCCAATAGGGACAAATACCCCCCGCTGGGTTTTTCAGAGAAGGTGCCATTCAAAAATAATGTATGGATCTAAGGGTGTAATCACAATTTACTTACAAATATTTGCAGTGAAATATTATTGCATCACATGTTTCTTAAGAATGAAACAAAGGTGCAACCAAATGAAACATCAATTCTAATACAATTTAATTCCATTGTAACATTCTTTTTTTATTTTTTCATTTCTTTTCTTTTATTTCTGCATTAAAAAAATATATTGCAATTATGTGTTATGTCACTCTGCAAACATTGTTAAGGAAAAAACCATTTATACAAAATCAAATTAATCTTGATATAGGCCAAATTTGAAATGCATTTTGAAAACAAAGAGCTGGTCATCCAGTAATGAAGTGCTTTGACAGACAATAAATTACATTTAAGAGAATCAAGAGAAGAGAGATCTTTAATTCTTGTGCCTTTTCTGGATGAAAGAAGTAACACACACGCTTGATAAGAGATATTTAACAACTTCCAACACAACTCATTAATTTATCTTTAACATGCATGCTTCAAAATTCCCAAGAGACAAATGAAATTACATTATCTTCTGTGCAATGTAAAAACTGTTTTTAACACTTGATGATGTTTCTTTTTTTAAGTTTTTATGAAGTTTTAAGCTACAATTTTTGAACAGATATTCTAGATTCTATATTCAAACCTTATAAAAACATGAGCCCAAAATGAACAAGTCAATTTAAATAAAAAATAAAACCTGTAAAATGCAAAAAAATTAACAAAAAGAGTGAAAATTCCAGGTGCACACCTTCAGTATGGTGAATAATATGTGTACAAATTTTCAGAAATATTAATCCTTGCAATAGTTTCTAGAATGTACGGTACATGACATAAACAACAAAATAAAAATGAAAAAACACCTGTAATTCAAAATAGTAATCCAATCAAGATGAAAATATCAGGTGCACAACTTCATATGGTAAAATAATATGTGTACAAATTTTTTCAGACAAATCCTTAATAGTTTCTGAGTAATGGTCCGGACAAAATCTCGTCACAGACAGAAGACAGACAGACAAACGGACACTTTAAAAGAAAATTAACATGGTGATTCCATTTTAACTGACCTCACTAAACTTCGTTTGCTAAAATATAATAAAATACCTGAAGGTTGATCTTCAAAGGTGCAAAGGAGAAATTTTACATTCATTTAATAAATGTATTAGGGTGTAATTTAGTCTAACTTCTTCCCTTTCTTGAACTCTTTAATAACAAATTTTTGATGACAAATTGAATTAACAATCATGTGACATGGCTATAGGACAGAAAAATAAATCATATTTTGTATCTAATATTCCACAACCTTACAGAAAAGGAAGTCCACTAAACGCTGTTTCCATATGTAAAAGGGTTCATTCTTTTTCACAATTATTTTGTCATTTTTTAGTGATCAATAAATTAATGGCAAATATAATGTGTAAGTTGGACCATCTAGTAAACAAACAATTTTTTTTAAAACAAGAGATGTTTGTAAAACACTGATGCTCCCTCCCCCAAATAATTGGAATTTTTCTAAGTCAAAGGGGCATAGCTCTGTCCAAAATGGTCCAATGGTACCAAAAACAGAACTTGACCTAGATAAGCTTATGATAAATCTGTATACATGTACAAAATTTCATTTCAATATGTGCAGCCTCTGCGAAGAAAATGAATAGAAACTGTTGGTGGACCAACAGACAGGCTGAGACAGCAGCAAAGCAATATGTCCTCCCTTCTTTGAGATAATTATTTTTAAGAATCTAAGGTAAACTTATAAATATACTTACTCATCTAGAAACTGGATAATTTTGTGTCTGCTTTTAACATAAAATGTGTTTGGAATGTCTATATTTTCTCCTTCTAGAATCTGAAAGGTAAACAGAGTATGATTTTACAGATTAAAACATTTAAATTATTATATACACAGACATTTTGTAATTCTACAATAAGACTTAAGAAAGCATTTTTTCAATTAATCTCAATTATAGGGATGTTACCATGTTTTTTCCTGACAATTTTTATCAAGGGTAACATTTGCTCCATTTTTAGGCTTTATAAAATTCCAATGAAATGCATGTCCATGTAAAGTCATATATAAATTTAATTTAACTGTGACAATTATATAGAGGGTAGACATAATGCATTATATGTGATGGGAGTTATAATTATACAGAATGATTTTGGGCATTGCATATATAGAGGTTGTAATGTTTGTAGGAGCTGTGTCTCACTGCATATCATTGGTACGCTGTCATGTTAAGACTGTGACTAATAAAACTGTAATACAATCAAACAATCAGTTCTTTATTAATACTATTCTGTGCTTTGAACATTTGTATAATTTCAATTAAATAGAAGTACAATTTTAAAAAAAAATTTTTTTTTTAATTTTAACTTAAATAAAATAATGTTTAATATGAAAATAAGATTTTTAAATCCATTTCCCTTGAAAACTAATGATTATAATATTTGACCAGTCTATCACTACAGTATTTGACCCTAGACACCTCGCCATCACCTGTAATTCACAATTATGCTTTATAAATGTATGATATTTGTGGTCAATGGGATGAATACAATGAAAACATGATTCCATCAAGCCAACCATCGTTAATAAAACAAAATTAATTCAAATCAAAATAATAACATTTGATCATTCTATTTCTGTAGCTTTGTATGAGTAAAAGCAAAGGAACTTCAGTTCTAATTGTAATAAATTTTAACAAGAGATGCTTCAATTGTCATTTTTGAAAAACATTTTTTGACAGGTAATTATACCTTCACAATATTTCATTTATTCTATTTTAAGAAAAGGAAACAATGATCCTTTTTATCAATCAAATTCAAGTTTTTGGCCAGATGAAAATTACAATTCAATGTTAATGGCTTGAAAAGCATGTGATGTTAAGTATATATGTTGCTAAGGCAGGCCCGTATCCATGACGACATACCCAGTCAGCATGAGTAATATTTTCTTCCGCAAGTTCAATCTAGAACAAAATCATCAGAAATGGACAATAAAACAGAAGCATGCAAACACACACAAACACAAATAATGAGGCCTTCTCAGGGTAAACAGTTTGTACATGTAATAATAAAACTGAAATATTATCATGTGCTGGTCCTGCAAATTATTATCGTTTATGAAGCTTATAGGTATTAAATGTTCACTTTAAAATAAATTTCTGTTTCAAATTTATACAATTATTCACATGTGTAGAAAGTTTTCTTAAATTAATTTTAACAAAGTTAATTCCTTGGTTCTCAGGCCTTTTTTCAAGAAATATGATGAGGGAGGGAGGCATCTTTTTTTTTTTTTTTTACTTTTTTATTGCCCCCAAAACATGATGAGGTAGCTTTTCACACTGTAAAAAACCTCAAAAAATTATGAGGGAGGTGATTTGTTTTTTTTGTTTTTTTTTATTTCATTGATTTAGCAACAAGAGGCCCAGGGGCCACAGTGCTCACCTGAGCACATCAGGCTTGAATTTACTTCCCCCCCCCACCCCCCTCCAGGCATTCATCATTTGAACAAACTAGAATCTACACTACCTGAGGATGATTCCATATGAATATCACTAATCATAGCTTTGAAGTACTTGTAAAGAAGATTTTAAAAGGTTTCCCTATATATTCCTATGTAAAACTTGGGTCGGCCATTTTGGCCCCACCCTTGCCCCAGGGGTCATGATTTGAACAAAAGAATCTTACCTGAGGATGATTCCACATGAGTTTCATCTTTTGTCCTAGTGGTTCTTGAGAAGAAGATTTTTCTTATATATTCCTATGTAAAACTAGGGTCGGCCATTTTGGCCCCACCCTTGCCCCGGGGGTTATGATTTGAACAAACTTGAATCCACACTACCTGAGGATGATTCCATATGAGTTTCATCTTTCCTGGCCCAGTGGTTATGGAGAAGAAGATTTTTAAAGATTTTTCCTATATATTCCTATGTAAAACTTGGGTTGGCCATTTTGGCCCCACCCTTGCCCCGGGGGTCATGATTTGAACAAACTTGAATCCACACTACCTGGGGATGATTCCACATGAGTTTCATCTTTCCTGGCCCAGCGGTTCTGGAGAAGAAGATTTTTTAAAAATGCCATTAATTTTTAACAAATTCATGATTATCTCCCCTTGGAAAAGGGCGTGGCCCTTCATTTGAACAAACTTGAATCCCCTTCACCCAAGGATACTTTGTGCCAAGTTTGGTTGAAATTGGCCCAGTGGTTCTTGAGAAGAAGATGAAAATGTGAAAAGTTTACGACGACAACAACGACAACGACGACGGACAAATTTTGATCAGAAAAGCTCACTTGAGCCTTCGGCTCAGGTGAGCTAATAAAAAGGGTCAATGAGGCACCCTTGGAAGAGATGAGGGAGGGCCTAAGAACCAAGAAATTAATTTTTTTATGGCCTAATATGAAAACAATAGCTATATGCACTTAATTTTATTTTAAAAATATCTTTCTATATGTTTTTGCTTAATAAAACAGTTATATATAACTTCTACTACAATTAATACACCCACTGTGACTCTTTGTACTAATTAATTACACTGTAGCTCTTCATATATTACAATATACAGTATAATAGTAACCTCATTACTACATAATTTAGTGTTATGCTATATATATATGAATGTGCAAGTTTATATATTGTTCTTATAGTGTTACGAATATATATAAGACACATTTATTATATGTAAGCGATTTTCAAAAAAAAAAATTAAATAGGCCACACCCACCTCTAATCCATCAATTGTTAACTCTGCCTTTAACTTGTAACTTCCCAGCAACAACTCCCCACAAATCAAAAGTAGGTCATTAAACTGAAAGTAAAAGAACAGCAAAATTTAATTATTGGTCAAATTAATAAATGACAAAAAAATTGAACTCAAGTGTTCATTTTTTGATTCTGCGTTCATAATTTTATGACCTTTTAAGGTAGTCCGATCCTCAGGTTTATAAAATTAGCAGTTAAGTAAAGTAATCAAAAATACTCATAAAAGTACGTACTCTGACTTTACAAAGTTATGTAAATTTATCCACAGTATTTCGTTCAAGTTAAAGATTCAAGTTAATTATATAATATAGGGGAAATTGTCAATTCTCCAATATTTTTGCAAAAAAAGCGAATTGGAATATCGGCAATGCATTTTCTAATTGCAAATTGTTCAACATACATATTTTAGGTTAAAAAAAGAAAGGTATCCAGGCATTCAGAGAAATTGTCATGATTTTAATACTTATTTGGTATTTTTTGTCTTCTATTTCCGTCATATATTCTATAATATATAGTGTAAAAGGCTTTTGCTATCATTGCAAGACACCGCATATCACTTCTAATTTCATATCAGGCTAATAAGTATTGGTATCGAAGGTCGGATTCAAGAAAATCTTATTTCTCTAATACTGTGGGTTTTTTTTTTGTCTTTTATAGGGTACAAATTTCAACTTTTATAAAACCTTTTCTAAGACTTCCAAAAACCTTGATCTTATTAAGGTGAATAAAATGAAGATTGTTCTGTGAAAAGATTTCATTTTCTAGCTTCCTTTTGATGCATTTCAAATTAAATATTAATTTTTGGAGTTATCCTTCCTGGCTGAGGATCAGATATCCTTAAGGATACACCGAAGGCTTTTTTCAAGATTTTTGTCAATTTTGAGATTTTTGGCTAAGAAAACAATGATAATCACTGCTTTATAATGCATAAAAAAATCTTGCTGATTATTAAATGGTTTTCTAATTATTTAACAATAATCAAACATAAACATTAACACATGTGAATGTGCCGTTATTGAAGCTTCTGATTTGGTCTGTAACTGCCTGCTACTGAAAGGAGCAATAAATCACTGTGACCACTTGGGGAATTCTTCACTAGCCACACAGAGGCTATCAGTAATTAAACTACAGGGACTTTAGATTTAGGGAAGGAGATCAAACAGGTTACTAATGACCATGAAATAGGAGGTGGAGCCTAGCTCTTGCCATTTTGCCGGGAAATCATTCTGATACAGAATTGAACCTATTTTACTTCATTAAAAGCACCTAAATAAAGAATAGAACCTCCCATTCTTGTGAATATGCATAGGAAATATGGATAAGTGACAGGTATCCAAAGCTGAATCTCCAAGGTGTCATATATTTCCAGCTTTGGCAGACTTTGTTGTGTAATGGGTTTTTGCCCTCTACTGTAAAGTAAGATCAGACAGTTGGTGGTATTATTTGAAAGGATTCAGCTCCCTTATTTATTGACCAATTTCTCTGAAAACTGACCAGAATGCGTCTCAAATGTGTGTTCACAAAACCGTATCTCAGATTTTTGATATCTTGCTCAGTTCTCGAATTATTGGGGGAAATGTAGAATTAGGCTAATAAATTGGTAACATTGAAAGAAAAATGGATGTAACTTTTTAATAAGAAGATTTATCAAAAATCTGAGATACGGTTTTAAAGTTCAATCTTTAATCTACATTGAGGCAAAATTTTGACTTTGAGAGGTGGAATACACAAAAGTTGATTTATAAAATATAAATGCCTTAATATTTACATTAAAAAATAAATATGTTTTTAATAAGATAAAAATGATAATTTAAATTAACATCATTAAATTGTGAATTTAATAAGCTTTCAAATGATATATACTTTTAATGTGTTATCTTTGTTAATGAAAGAATTAAAAGCAAATTAAATTTTGCCCTTTGGAAACCTTTGGTGTATCCTTAAGTAAAAATCTGATGAAAAATTAATATATAATGATTGAGAAAATCCTTGATGGTATTTACAAATTCTTAAATTGTTCTTTGAAAAAACATTTCCTAAAATTGAGAATTTTACTTCCCTGATTTTAATACTTGAGTGTCTGTTTTTCATAGAAAACAAATCTTAACAATTTACTTTCAATTAATCTCTTTTTTTTCAAAATAAACACGAGTTTCTTTTGAACAAAGGACAATCATCTGAGGGTTTTTTTTTCAATCATGTAATCAAACCCTTCATTTTGTGAAAATGTATATTTCATTCATGAAACTATTCAACACCGCAGACTTATCACACAAACCATTAAATCCTGTTCTAGAGTAAGATATAGGGGGACCTTACTCACTAGCAGGAGATTATAGATATAGGCACTGGCACCATACTCACCAGAAATAGATACCGATCAAGCCTCTCTCCACCCCGAGCCGAGATCTTTTTAATTTTTCCCTCTCGTATTAACTCGCGGGTGGGACTTATTAGATCTATGGTGGTGGTCACTTTTTCTTTGATTTCTAACAACTTGTGGAATTTCTCCTATAAACAACATAATTATTAAGATGATCATTTTAAAATTTAATTGTCTATTTCGTACACTATGTATAATATGTATCTAAAGGCATAGTAAAAATAGAGTTCGTAATTTGCAGTTTACAGAATTATTTGTACATTTGGTGACTTGAATTTACATTGTTTCATATTAAAAAAAATGATCAAATATATATATCTTTATCTTAGACTTTTGCTGTAATGAAAATTACAAATACATTACAGTAACATTGTTTTTTCTGAGATCAGACTCAAACTTACGATTTTCCGCATGGCTTCTTCTGAATGCTTTGCGGCAATCTCTACTTTCTCCAGAGCAGCTGTTAAAGTTCAAACTTAAAGAATCAAATATTCATACAAGCATGTTGAATGCATTTATCTGGGATAATTTGTTTTTTCATTCACAATTAGCATCAATACATTATACTTATATGATGTTTATCTGACAATCAAAATGTGACATGTAACTTTATTCTCTAGCATGCATAAAAAAAATTGCGTAAGATTTGCTTAACAGAGTTTATAAAGTAATGAAAATTATTTCATGCACAGTAAATTAATTTAAATTTGCATAAAATTAGTGAATACAGTTTAAATTAGGGATGTCAAATCAGTTAATATTTGATAATCGGTTACTCAGACCTTTATCCGATCGAGTACCAGGGTACTCAGTAAAAGCGTAAATACAAGTGTGTTAATTGTGAGCCCTGTTAGGCTTTGTTAAATTTCATTTAGCTTTTTATCATGTACATAAATGTATATACACATCGACTTCAACGGAAATGATTTTTTTGTACTAAATTTATTTATCACATAAATACAAAAGACACAATTAATACATCAAAAATAAGAAATGGTTTACAGTTCTTGTATATAAACATAATTTTTTATTGCAAACTCGTTATCTGGGACATAATATATACTCACATTTAGCGTCCTGTGAATCTGGTGAGTCCTCTGGAAGATGTTTAATGTAATCTGAAAAAATAAAGGTAAACCATAGTAATGAGATGGTGTACAAATGTAACCTACATTGGACAGAATTCACAATATCAAAACAAAATTTGCTTTATTTCCTAAAACGGTTCAGTATTTTGTACATTTATTTCTGTGTTAGATTGTTCAGTGGTAGTTGATTCCTGAGCAGGTTCCTACTGTGTTTTATATGATTTCTTTTTATTTTTTTTCAACACTGTTCTAAACACTAGTGGCTACATTCCACATAAACATCTTGTTCAATATGTCATACAGTATCTCTTCTATAATAAGCTGATATCTAAGATTTCTTTGTATATTCAATATCTAAGATTTCTTTGTATATTCAATATCTAGGATTTCTTTGTTTTATTCCATATCTAAGATTTCTTTGTTTTATTCAATATCTAAGATTTCTTTGTTTTATTCCATATCTAAGATTTCTTTGTTTAATTCAATATCTAGGATTTCTATATACAGGATATATCCTATCTGATATCTAGGAATTCTTTGTATGAGTTTTAACATGTGATATCTCACCTTTAAGAAGTAATTGATATCTAGGAATTCTCTGTATGGGTTCTAACATGTGATGTTGTAAGGTCAGCTTCCCACATTCTGGATAGCTCTAAAGAATGAAAATTTATAGTGAAGAATATGCTGCCAAATTAACCTAAATTCCAACTATCGTTGATGCCTTGGCATAACCAACAAAGTAGGCAGTAAATTCTTAAATATTTATTTTTCTGATTGTTTCTCTCTTTGAAAGAGAGGTGAGTTAATTTCTGAATAATTCAACCCGAATGTACATTTCGCCAAGTGGATTGTCGGTAGTACCAGGTAATTTTTTTTCTTTCCACTGTTTATACATTTCAAACTACAGCAAAACTCGTTTAGTACGAACACAGATATAACAAATTCATGGCTATAGCAAAGTTTTCTTGGATTCCCAGCTATATAAATTTAACAAATTATAAACCATAAAACCATATTATATGGATATAACAAATTACAGATATAGCGAAGTAATTTCGTAGGTCACTGTGACTTCATTAAAACCGAGTTTTACTGTATACACTTAAATTCCCTTTATAAACATATGAGGTACTAAAATTATTACAGCTTGTTTTTCCCTATTTATAATCAAGCTTTCTACATGTATATATTAAATTTAACTAAAAACAAGTCAGATATACCTGGATTTCTTTGAGGAGAGTTAAGAACTTGGGTGACTTTTCCGTCCATGTGTTGATAAGGTTCATGGCGTGGTCAAAGTTACGAACATACTCTGTGTACAGCTTCAGGAAGGGGGCGTTGGTCTTCATTAAGTCTCCTATCCTTGGCTGTGCTTCCCTAAACAAAAAACATTATAGAGATTAAAAATGAATTACTGAAATTATACAAAAGTTAATATTCATCAATATACAATAAAACATGATTATAGAGAAAAGCTTATAATGAATTGATGTTTACAGCAAATTAATTTTCATTCCCTGTAGCTTTAAAATGTATTGTGAACCTCACAGATACAAGGAATTACATTTACGATAATAACAAATCAAAATTGTCCCTCCCTGGCCCTTCATTATAAGCATGCTTTACTGTACGAGAAAGCTAAACACAAATTCTTAAAATACACTGTGTTATCTTATATTGTCATTTACACCTCTCTTGTAAAATCTATGTGAATTTCTCCTTTGTGCTGTTCTATATATATTTGAATATTTGTGCATTATCTGACCTATGTGAACACCTTTTACAGTAATTTCTGCTCTGTGTGAACACAAATGGGCTATGATCTATTCCTATCTAACCTAGGTGAACATCTACTATGTGCTATCTAATATATGTGAACACCTCCCTGGTGCTATCTGATCTATGTGAACGTTTCCAATGTAATATCTTAAGGAGACCCTCCTATTACTTTGAAACCAATCCTTCTTCTATTTTTTTTTACCCCATTCCTCTGTATATTATATACTGCCTGTTTTGTTTTAAAAAATATCCATATTTACAGCATTTCTAAGTGAATCTAATTTTTTCTTGAAATGTTGTTCTTATTTTTACTCCCTCCCTTGCACTGACTTTTCTACATGAACCCCTCCCTGTACGCAAGGTCCCTCCCTGTACATGATGTAGTTTGTGACCCTTCTTTCATGCTCTCTTCTGTAACCCCCGCCCCCCTCCACCTACCAGTCAGCCATGCGCTTCTGAAGCTGAGGCAGCAAGAAGTCCTTGTGGAAGTGGTGGATGCTGGTAATGTTGGAGAAGATCTGAGGCAGGATGTCCGGCGGCAGAAATTTCTGGCTCTCATTCTCCTCCCGGAATTTCTTCTGGAAAGTCTGGAAAAATATCACAGATGAAACCTTTAAACACTTGTTTCTCTCATCTGCTGCATTCAGAGAGACAATTTTTGTAAAATCAATCATTTTTATGTGGATTAATTTTTGTTGCTTTTGTGGTTCCTCCATGTAATCAAATCCCCATATCATGCACTGATATCTTTCCTCAAGCAACAAAAAAGGTAATCCCACGAAAATATGTGATTTTACAGCATAAAAGTATTTTGCAAATGATTAGTACATGTACTCAAACTTAAGGTAGCAAATAATTCTATCAAATTAAAGTGTCCTGAAGTCTTTTATGTACTAGAAAGAAGAAAGAATGTGTGATTGCTGGATGGCAACTTGAGGCTGGTGTACTCAAGAAGAATAATTGATTGATTGTATGTTGTTTAAGGGGGGACCTATGTCGTTCTACGTCAAAGCAGCGTTACGTGACGTCACAATAGCGACGTTTGTTTTTTACCTGTTGACTTTTGCAGTAGTGATATAGGCATAACATTGTTATTAATCAATAACGTACACAGTTTACAAAAAGAAAATTTATTCATAATTAATAACAGTCTTTTTTGATTTATGGAGTTTGTTAATATTAGAATTCTCTTCCTTTGGTAGATAATTCATAGTAATTTAAGTTGTGAAGAAATACCTCGATGATATGCTGATATATAAGTGCAAAAAGATTTAAGATAAAATTCAGCAAAGAAAGCGGCTTAAATCAGGGAAATATGCTTAATTTTATGTTTACCATTAATTGTATTTTCTGGATAAAACTAAAAAAAAAATTAGAAATGTGCTTGTACGTATATTTGCTTATTGATTTGTAGTACATGTATATTTTATTTTATAAAGTCATTCTTAGGTTCTAATAGGTGTTCGTTGTTGACGGGGAAATAGGGGGGGGGGGGGGCAGAATGATTAGAATGAAGAAGAAAAGAATTAATCTGTTTAAATGGTTTCTAAATCAAAACAAAATACTCGTTTTTCGCAAATTAGTTTTATTTTCAGATGTTTGTCAGTGCTTACTTACCTTTATTACCTTTAATTTAGTGCAAAAAGGTCAAAATTTATGACACAAGAGTACGAAAATAAAAGAAAACGTCATATTTCTTGTTTATTTTATCATAAAGGTATACTTTTTTCTTTGTTAAAATAAAGAGATGTGTCGTTTCTTTCAAACAATATGAATTACGACATTTTCACACAAAGACTTTTTAAGATATTACCTGTCATGTATGTCGGAATTGTTAAAAATACGACAAGAAAAACGGGGTGATACTTATACTGTGCGCCTTTATAATTTTTCATGCGAAATAAATTTCAATGAACTTGCCCTAATTTTAAAGATACAAGTCATATAAATTGAATACATCTTGATTTCGAATGTGATTTTACATTTTTGGTTCTTTTTAACGCATATTTGGAGTAGAACAAGAATGTCTGAAAATAATCTATTTTTAGCACTTTACACTGTTTTTGCACGTGCTCCTATGTAAAAATAAGCATATAAAGGTATTGTTTTTAATACCTAAAAATAAAGAGCAAGTGGTCAGGAAAGAAATGTCAAAATTTTGAAAATTTCACACAAAGACTTTTCGGACATAGGTCCCCCCTTAATGTCCCTCTTGAGAATTTTTCACTCATATGGTGACTCCACCACTTGCTGGTGGAGAACTGAAAATTTTGTCCTTATACTGTTCACCACTTAGGGCCGTTGAGCAGGGAGGGATCTTTTTTGTGCCAGCACCTACTGCGTGGGACCTCGGTTAATACAGTCTCTCAGAAGGACTGGTCTCCACATCCCACAGTGGGATTCAAACCCACAATGAACGGATAAACTCCTTACTTTGCAACTTTCAATCAGACGATCTAACCACTGCACCACGCAGGTGACTACTCAAGAAGAGATTGCCAGCTTTCTGCCACCTATTTAGTCTATACCTCTTGATTTCACTTTTGTACTGTTAATATACCATATCTAGACTTCAATAAAATGAACATAAAACTTACTTCATCCAGTAGCTGAAGCCTTGTGGTATAAGCTGCCTCGGTCTGTAATAACTCGGAAGCTATCTTCTTAATTTTACACTCCCCAACACAATTTGGATCCTGCAGTAAATCAAAGGATTTTTTTTTTTACACGTATTGATCAGGAAAAAGAATTAATGCTATAACAATTGCAACCTTTAGCAGTGGGTTTTTACTTATAAAAAAATATCAAATCGACATGAAAAAGTAAGACAGGACTTAAATGTAAAGGTATTAACATAAAATTTCCTAAAGATATTCTTGAGTTGAGTTCTGAAATTGAATCTTGATGCCGTGGAGCATGATTTTTATTATCCATTATTTTATTTAACCTCTTGTACAGAATTTTCAAACCTTACATCCAAAGTTTGCAAATTCAAAACTAAACAGTAGAGATAATTCATTCTTAACAAGAACAGGTCAAAGAGAGATCAAAGTTCAGTGAGGCTCTAAATGGGTTCAACATATTTGATTTTCTCTTGTGCATAGTTTTACCCTAACACGATTGTAGTCTGTGAAAAGTGGACTTCATTGATTATCTATAAGCTTGTCTTCAAGTCGCCAGTAATGCACTACAGCTGCACAATTGTTATAGCAGTGTCTCAAGCTTCCGTTATTTATCTAACACTGAGAAATTCTCATTTTGCTTCATTTGATATTTGCACAAGGAGCAAAATAAATGCAGCATATGCTCACATCAATATTTTGATAAGAGGCTGAATCATGAAACTGATTTGAAAATCAAACATTCATAATTTGACAATGATTCTGCAATTGGAATCACTATATACAAGGAAGAAATGTTTGCGAGTTAAAAAATGAAAATCTTTTTTCTTCATTTTTTTTTAAATTTCACCAAGGGAAAAATTTAAACAGCATTTTTAAAAAAAAACTAAAAAATTTTGAAAATTGTTCCAGGTGGATTTTTTTTCTCCCAATCTGTGTGGTTTGTTCAATCAGTATAAATTTTTTAATGATCTTCAAAGTACAAGTTTAAACTTGATCACTGTTTTTGAAGCCATAGGAATTCTGAATACTGTGGTTTCATCAATTTTCGTTGGCATGGAAAAAAATTTTCGAACAATGATTTTTTGTAAAACAGATTTTTTTTTTTCATGTAGAAAATTTTGAATTATTTTTTTAATTTGTGACTTACAAAGGCCTTGCCTTTTGAAATACATATGAATATCAAATTTATTAATTCAATGAACATTTGAATTCGTTGATCTGCTCAACAACGAAATCCACGAAAATTGATGCTCAACGAATATTGATAAAACCAAAGTATTTGTTTACTGGGTAACTACATAAAAAGACAATATGATGAAATGATAATGACCTCTTTGACCTCTACCGGGTGTTCTTCTTCCAGGTCACTATCAAACTCACTGAAGCTGCCAACATCGGAATCAGACCAACTGGAGTCAAACAATTTTGCGGGGTCAAGGCCAATACTGGTCCCCTCCTTGATCGTTTCCTCCTCCCCTCCAGTTTCCTGACCAACTGATGATACTCCGTTGCTATAGAAACCAGAACTCAGAGATTTGTCACTACTGCTTATGTCCCTTTTACTTTCATTCTCTGCCACCACTTCAACATTGTCATAAGTATTCCCTGCTTCCTCAGAAACAATTTCTTTGTTTTTGCGGGAAGCTCTGGGGGATGACGTCACAACGTCATTGTCTGAGGAACTACTTTTCTGTGAGGAGTTAGAACTCCGATGACTGTTGAACACATGTTTTTTGGTTGATGGGGAAAGCACAGGGCTAGTTGTCCCCGATGAACAGTTTGAATGATCTGAACTACCATGTCTGGTTGAAGGTTTCTTATGAATAGAGGGTGGTGTTTTCACAAATTTTTCAATATCCTTTTTGGAGATTCTTGGCGAATTCTGACTTTTCACAACATCTGAGGGCTTCACATTTGGAATTTCTAGAATATTTTTTTCTTCTTCTTTTTTCTCACATTCTGAGTTTGCAGGTTTTGTTTTATCATTCGGTTTTTCCTCTATCCCCGGACTTTGAGAATTACCATCTATTTGGTTAACAAGTGCTTTCACAAATCCTTTAGACATGACGGTTTTCCGAAATTGTTCATTTCTTGACAATCCAGAACAGAACACAGAAAGAGAGGGATCCCCCTTTGAATTATAAGATGCCTGCGGACTTGGATGAACAAATCCTCGTTTTTTAAATGATGGTGAAGAAGGTGTTGATAAAGATCGCAATCTTGGTCCACTATTCCCAGCCCCAATTTGCTGATATTCTAAAAGTCTCCGTTTAACAATGCCCGATAATTTTGGAGAACTCGGTGTGGACTGCGTGGTTTTTTCTTGAAATTCCTCACAAGGGGAGCTAACTTCTGTCTGTGGTTCACTCACTGATCCCTGTGAATCTCTCTCCAGTGGAATTATTAGATCCTCCTCTGAGTTTTCGGAGTCGGCTGTTCCTGTTGTCACTGTCTGAATCACAAGACCATTTCTGGTTCGGCCCTGTAGTTTCTTACTCAGTCCAACATTGGTGAAAAGTTTGTCCAGAAACTTAGGTTTTGAGGGTGCTAAAAAGAGAAAATTGAAAAAATTAAATGATGAATATAAAACCTTTGAAGGAACTAGGGTTCATCTTAATCAAATTAATATAATGATGACAGATACATTGGTTTAATATTCTATATGCTAAAAAAATAAAATACAATAATGAAGTGTAAGAGCATACACACGATGTCTGAAATGACAGCATTTCATAATGAACTTTCCCCCCCCCCTCAATAATCAGTGCATGTATTCAATACCATCCTTCTCATTAAATCACTGCATGAATTAATTCACCAAATGATGAGTCAAGTTTCCAGTGAGTAATTCCTACTCCAAAATAACACACAACACAACTAAAACAATACGACTTACCCCACATACACATTTTGAAGGCCATAATTTCACATGAGTTTCATCTTTCCTTCTGGACCTAGAAAAAGATTTTTTAAGATTTTTCCTATATACGCTATGTAAAACTTTAATTGGCCATTCCCCCACACAGAGACCTGATGGTCATGACTTGAACAAACTTGAATTACACTACCTGAGGATGATTCCACATGAGTTTCATCTCTCCTGGCCCAGTGGTTCTTGAGAAGAAGATTTTTAATGATTTTTCCTATATATTCCTATGTAAAACTTTGATTGGCCATTTTTGCCCCGCCCTACCCCCGGGGGTCATGACTTGAACAAACTTGAATCTACACTACCTGAGGATGATTCCAAATGAGTTTTTCTTTCCTGTTTCAATGTGAGAAGAAGATTTTTTAAATTTTTGGTATATATTTTCATGTAAAACTTTTTTTTTGCCCCGCCCTACCCCCGGGGGTTTAAATTATTACACTTGAAGATTCCCATGAGCTCACATGTCATGGTCAATTTCATTCACAGAAGATTTTTAATGATTTTTCCTATATATAAATGTAAAACTTAAATCGGCCATGGATCATATGAACAAATATCTACAAAAATGAATTTTAAGTTACATCTTTCCTGGCCCAAATAATCAGATTTATAAAGATTTTTCCTATATATTCCTATGTAAAAAACATTTTGGCCCCGCCCTACCCCCGGGGGTCAAAAAATCACTTGAATTTTTACTACCCAGTTGATTCCACATGAGTTTCATCTTTCCTGGCCCAGTATTTTAAAAGATTTTTAAAGATTTGGCCTATATATTCCATGTAAAACTTTAAGGGGGTGCCATTTTGGCGCGCGCCCTACCCCTAAAATTGTCAAAGTCTAACGTAAATCACAGTTTCTTTCCTACAAAATGTTCTTAGGAGAAGATTTTTTAAAAATGCCAATAATTTTTCCTAAATCATGATTATCTCCCCTTGGAAAAGGGCGTGGCCCTTCATTTGAACAAACTTGAATCCCCTTCACCCAGGGCTTTGTGCCAAGTTTAATTGAAATTGGCCCAGTGGTTCTTGAGAAGAAGATGAAAATGTGAAAAGTTTAGGACAACGACAACGCCGACAACGACCCCGACAACGCCGACAACGACAACCAGACAACGGACAAATTGTTCAAATCACTTGAGCCGCGCTCTGAGCCTAACTGTCCAATTGGATGACATAGTGTTAAATGTTTTTGCATTAATAAATATATATCAAACACGAAATATCATTTTTGTAATATTTAAATAATTTTAAAATATATATATATTCATAGGCAATCTTTCGTGAAATAAGAACCTCAAGTTTTCAAAGAAGGAAAAGGAAGAAAAAATTTTTTGTGACCTGAACTTTATCATGACATTATTAAGCAAGACACACCCTTTCATGGGAAATCTTTGTGTGAATTGAGAACCTACCAAGTTAATTAAAAAAAAGATATAATAAAACAATATATTTTAAAATTTTAAAGTGAAAAGAAAACATTTCCAAATGACCTTTCAAATGACACACCCTTGGGTCATGGGCAATCTTTATGTGAAAGAAAAACCTACCAACTTTATCCATAAGAAAGATATAGACCGGACACGAATTATGAAATTTTTCTTCCAGTGACCTTGAACTTCCCCAAATGACCTTGGGTCAAGGTCATGACACACCCTTGGGTCATGGACAATCTTTGTGTGAAATGAGAACCTGCCAAGTTTATCCATAAAAGATATGTGTCAAACATGAATTTTAAATTCACATGCTTATTGCCTATCATCACTGTCAAGGTCATGACACACCCTTGGGTCATAATCTTTGTGTGAAATGGGAACCTATAAGTTTATCCATAGAGGGGAGACACATCACAGCTTAAAATTTTTCTTCAGTGACCTTTTCCCCAAATGACCTTTCTGACACATATACAATCTGAGAATACCAGAGAGTTTATCCATAACAAGATATGTGTCAAACATGAATTCCATCTTTTCTCGTAAATGACCTGTGAGACTTCCCCAAATGACCTTGGGTCAAGGTCATGACACACCCTTGGGTCATCACAAGTCTTTGTGTGAAATGAGAACCTACCAAGTTTATCCATGGGATGACCGGACACGAAATATGAAATTTTTCTTCCAGTGACCTTGAATCTTGTCAACCAAAAACCTTGGGTCAAGGTCATGACACAAAGGTTAACACATCTTAGTGTGGACTACTATAGCACTGACTATTTGTATTTATATGCTTCATTTATCAATCAAATAGGTGTCTGAAGTTTTCTGACAGCAAGTGACTCTGCCCTGGTCAACCTTTTTAGTATAAAATTGTATAATAATACAATATGTAAATGTAAAGCATACACACGATGTCTGAAATGACAGCATTTCATAATGAACTTTCCCCCCCCCCTCAATAATCAGTGCATGTATTCAATACCATCCTTCTCATTAAACACTGCATAATTAATTAAAACAAATATAGCATAGTTTCACTGGTATTCCTACTCCAAAATAACACACAAAAATTAAAGTTATATGATATATATATTTTGAAGGCCAATCAATGTACCCGGTACATCAGTGACCTATATCATTTATTGAAATTTTTGAGACCATGACACTTCACTATTGATTTTAGCCAAATTTAAGTCAAGTGTACAACTCTTGAATGTGCATGACTTCTCAAAAAATTTTTTTTTTTTTCCTTTATACTGTTAACTCAAATTTGCATTAAAAACCTTTTTTATCTGATTTCATTAATTTAAATTATTCATTGAAGACCATGCTCACATGTCATGTCAATTTCATTCACAAAATCCATTCACAACAACTCACTTGAATATAAATAAATCAATTCTTAAATAGATGGATTATAATTATGTTTAATATTACAAAAATGAATTTTGATTACATCTTCAAATAATCAGCTTTTATTTTTCCATTTAGCACATGAAAACAAATTATCAGTAAATGGAAAAAAATTCACAGACATACTTAATCTGTATGTTGTTAATGATATAAATAATATTTTTTATAAGATACAGCTATTTAGCCAACTTCCTGATTAACTTAAAAAGCAAACATTTTTTAATATCTTAAATAATTTTAAAATATATATATTCACAGTTTCGTTTCAATATCTTAAAAGAAGGAAAAGTAAGAAAAAATATTTGTACTGACTTTATCAACATTATTCACAATTAGAGCTTACCATGTTTGTATTCACCCTAGGCAATAAAACAATATAAACAAAGTTTAAATTTCTTTTTTAGTAAAAGAAAACATTTACTTTTAAAAACATGCTACTTTACAAACAAAATGTTTCAGTCTTTACATTTTACTGTGAAGTGTGTAACTGGATTATAATGTAAGAGTCGCTGCTGGTGTATTAAATTCACATGCTTATATGCCTATCATCACTGTGGTCTGCAGTCAGTAGGGAGCTATAATCTTGTGAATGGGACACTTATAACTACTATAATACAGGGGAGACACATCACAGCTTAAAACATGTCTTATGACCATTTCTACATCATATACAACACTAAACATGTAGAGATCTCATGATGCAGTTCATAACATGGAATAATGTGTAAAGGGGAATAACTCCATCTACATGCTCGTTAATGCTGTGAGACCTGACAATATGAATATGACCGGTGACACATTTTCACAAGTTTTGTGTGCATTTTGACCTTATGGGATGATTAAGTATGACTAATCTTTGTCAACAACAAAAACCTCAAATGAATAAAAACACATTTAGCGTTTACTACTATAGCACTGTCTGTTTGTATTTATATGCTTCATTTATCAATCAAATAGGTCATATGGAGAGTGTATATATGACAGCAATGACATACTGGGGTTGTACATGGATTTCAACCTTTTTGTATAAAATGTATGGTAATATGTAAATTAAACTGTATATACAAATTTCACTGACTGTCATAGTCACATTGAGGTATCCAACCCTTTCAACACTGATAAAAGGATCTAAAACAATATAGCATAACTTCACTGGTAGTCCAAGAAAAACCTTGCAAAAATTATGAAGTTATATGATAGCAAGCTATTCTAATATCAATGTACCCGGTACATCAGTGTATCATATCATTTATTGAAATTTTTGGTTACCATGATCATGATGATAGCCAAATTAAGTCAAGTGCACAACCTTGAATGTGCATGCATGCTCAAAAAACATACTCCTTCTTTATACTTTCTAAATTTTAAAAATCTTTACTAACATCTGATTTCATTAATTCTAAATTTATTTCCTCACATAAAGGCCATACTGTTCAATTCATGTAATGCTAAATTTTTCGCAGAAGCTAATTTAAAGACATGTATACATTCAGCTACCTACCACATACATCTCAAATGATCATTTTTCCATTTAGCACATGAAAACAAATTATCCAGTGGACATTACAATTCCAGACATAGATAATCTGTATGTTGTTAATGATATAAATAATGCATGCAGTCTTATAAGATACAGCTATTTAGCCAACTTCCTGTTTTCACCCAAAGCAAACAATTAAACTCTATGCATTGATAAAATGTGTGATACTTAGATAGTCCAATAGAATCTCAAGATATATTAATTCAAATAAAAACATCCTCCGTTTTATGAAA